AAAAAAAAAAAAAAAAAAAAAAAAAAAAAAAAAAAAAAAAAAAAAAAAAACATATCATCGTTTCTTTTTTCTTTTGCTGCTGCTGCTGTGGATATGGTCCAGATTTGATGTTGAAATTTTGTTATTTGGTGACACTACATGCAAAAATATTTAGTGCATTTACCATTAAATAACAATGTTTTCTCAGTAATTGATGCTTTTTATTTATCCTTTAAAACTCTTGTAATGGTTTCTAAACTTTTGAATTTGTTTGTTTAGTAAGTTTGTTATTAGATTAATACGTGCATGTAGGGTTTAACAAGTCGAAGTAGTGTTCGTTCCTTGTCCTTGAGGCTCGTTGGTCTATGAATTCTTTAAAATAGGTCAGACAGGTTAGGATCGTTGAAGTTCTCCTTTTATCCTTTGTCTTTAAGGCTCGTCGGCCTATAAATTCTTTAAAGTAGGCTAGACGGATTGGAATGGTTGAAGTTCTTTTATGTTATCAAAACTAAGACGTAAAACTAAATTCGATGTTGGAAAGTTTTTTTTTTATATATAGTATTGGAAATTATAATTTTTTAAAATTTTGTTGGTAAGATATTATTACATTATATTTTTTTATTATAGAAAATTAAAATGTTAATTGAACACAACCATGTAATTTAATTAAAATGTTAATTAGATTAAATTTAAAAAATAAACAAATAATCAAATTTTTCCCGCTCTTTTAAACGGCAGAAAGGGAAGCCCGAAGCTGACAGTTCTCTCTAATCTTTCCAAGATCCAAAATCGATAGATTCAATACAATAATTTCTATGCTTCTTCTTCGACTGAATGGATATGGAACTGGAAGTAACAGAATGAAAAATCTCCTTGTTCTTTTCAAGCCAAGGATTGCCTTCTTCAATTCAACGTCTTCTTCATCATCACCTCAGATTTCGTCTCTGGAAACCCATTTCATCGATCTAATACATGCTTCCGATTCGACCCACAAGCTTCGTCAGATCCATGGTCAACTCTACCGCTGTAACATCTTCTCCAGCAGCCGGGTCGTGACCCAGTTCATCTCTTCGTGTTCTTCGCTAAATTCTGTCGACTATGCGGTTTTGATCTTCCAGCGGTTCGAGTTGAAGAATAGTTTCCTCTTCAATGCATTGATTCGAGGACTTGCTGAAAATTCCAGGTTCGAGAGCTCAATTTCTTACTTTGTTTGCATGCTCAGGTGGAAAATTAGCCCTGATAGGCTTACTTTTCCGTTTGTGCTAAAATCAGCGGCGGCTCTTTCCAATGGTGGCGTTGGGAGTGCTTTACATTCTGGGATTTTGAAATTTGGACTTGAGTTTGATTCTTTTGTGAGGGTTTCGTTGGTGGATATGTACGTGAAAGTTGACGATTTGGGTTCTGCCTTGAAGGTGTTTGATGAAAGTCCTGACAGAATTAAGAAGGGAAATGTGTTGATTTGGAATGTTCTTATTCATGGGTATTGTAGAGTGGGGAATTTGGTTAAAGCTACGGAGCTATTCGAGACAATGCCTGAGAAGGATACAGGTTCTTGGAATAGTTTGATTAATGGCTTCATGAGAAAGGGGCAGTTGGGTCCAGCACACGAACTGTTTGAGAAAATGCCTGAAAAGAATGTGGTTTCTTGGACTACAATGGTGAATGGATTTTCACAGAATGGAGACCCTGAAAAGGCATTGCAATTTTTCTTTTGTATGCTCGAAGAAGGCGCACGGCCGAACGATTACACAATCGTCTCTGCACTTTCAGCTTGTGCAAAACTTGGTGCCTTAGATGCTGGTTTAAGGATCCATAAATACCTTTCAAGCCATGGTTTCAAATTGAATCAAACGATTGGAACTGCAGTTGTGGATATGTATGCAAAATGTGGAAACATTGAGTCTGCAGGAGAGGTGTTTCGTGAAATAAAACAAAAGGGTCTTCTTACTTGGAGTGTTATGATCTGGGGCTGGGCTATCCATGGACATTTTAAGAAATCTATACAATACTTTGAATGGATGAAGTCTGCAGGTTTAACTTCATTTTGCGTTTGTTATTCTCTGAAGTTTATTCTTTGTTGTCCATAACTCAAAACTCGGTATGTTTGCAGGAACAAAGCCAGATGGGGTGGTGTTTCTAGCTGTTCTTACTGCTTGCTCACATTCTGGACAAGTAGACGATGGACTCGAGTTTTTCGACAGTATGAGGCGAGACTACTTGATTGAGCCTTCTATGAAGCATTACACTCTGATTGTAGACATGCTAGGAAGGGCTGGTAGACTAGATGAAGCTCTAAAGTTCATAAGAGACATGCCTATCAACCCTGATTTTGTGGTCTGGGGTGCTCTATTTTGTGCTTGCAGGGCTCATAAGAACATTAAAATGGCAGAATTAGCATCCGAAAAGCTTCTTGAGCTTGAACCGAAGCATCCGGGGAGTTACGTATTTTTGTCGAATGCATATGCTGCTGTAGGAAGATGGGAAGATGCAGAGAGAGTGAGAGTTTCTATGCGAGATCGAGGTGCACAAAAGGATCCAGGATGGAGCTTCATGGAAGTGGATGATAAGTTACATAGATTTGTGGCTGGTGATAATACTCATAACCGTGCCCAAGAGATATACTCGAAATTAGATGAGATAAATGCAGGTGCCAGGGAAAAAGGATACACAAAAGGAATTGAGTGTGTTCTTCATAACATTGAAGAGGAAGAGAAGGAAGAAGCACTGGGACATCACAGCGAGAAGTTGGCGCTTGCTTTCGGGCTCGTTAGTACAGCCCCGGAGACGACGATTAGGATAGTGAAAAACCTTAGAGTTTGTGTGGATTGTCATTCATTCATGAAATATGCAAGTAAAATGAGCCAGAGAGAGATCATTCTGCGGGATATGAAACGATTTCATCATTTTCATGATGGGGTTTGTTCATGTGGAGATTATTGGTAAAAGATCGTTGATCAGAGAAGGTGGAACTACTGGTGCTTTTGTTACTGAGGTTGCCACTTATAGCTAAGCCTACTCCTATACTTCTCGAATCTCCGTTCTCGCAAAATTCTCGACATCAAACCATTTTCGAGATATTCGACTCCGTTTCTAACTCTCACTCGGCTTTGTTGGATGAAAGGAAAAGTTGAAAAGTCCCACATCGGCTAATTTAGGGAATGTTCATGGGTTTTCAAGGAATACTCCCTCCATTGGTATGAGACCTCTTGGGGAAAAGTCCCGCATCTGCCAATTTAGGGAATGTTCATGGATTTTCAAGAAATACTCTCTCCATTGGTACGAAGCGTTTTGGGGAAGCCCAAAGCAAAGTCACGAGAGCTTATGCTCAAAGTAAACAATATCATACCATTGAGCAAAGCCACGAGAGCTTATTCTCAAAGTAGACAATATCATAACATTGTGGAGAGTCGTGTTTGTCTAACACACTCATCGATTAATTTTGATCAACTCCCTTGTAGGTTTGTTCTTTTCCTCTTGATGATCGTTGGTTATATTCGTTAGTTCTTCTCTTAATTCCATGGTCTACTTGCCAATCTGCCGAGTTTCTTTTTCGTTAATTTGTTGATTGAACGTTTGAATTCGAGTCGTTGAGTTTAATTTCGTGTTCTTGGTTTCTTTTTCTTGTTGTTTGTTGATCGGGAGAGTGGTAAAAGTTCGTTAACTTAAATTGTTAAGGCTATTTTGTTTGTCTCGATTATGTTTATGGGGCATGAACAGTGGGAGTTTTGCCTTAGATTTTCATAATTCTGTGGTTGATTGTTTTAAAATTAAAGGAGTCTGACTTTCGTGGATTGTAGTTTCAGGACTGATGGCTAAGAGCTCTACTTCAAGCAAGAGCATGATGATCTTGGTAAGGAAGCAATCAGTTATTGATGATGTTCTTTGATTTCTTCCCCCAAAACCTAGAAAAATCCTAACCCCGTCGCGAATTGGTGGTTTCCAGCGACGTGAAACGCCGTCGGAGGCGGACATTGATGATGGTTTCCGTCGAGGTTAAATGGCGACGTCGGCGGCAACAGAGCCTCACCGGTTCGGACCGCCGTCGATTTCTCGAATTTCTCCGCTACGGCTCTCAAACCCATCAATGGCAATCGAAACTCCCTCGATTCTTCCAATCTCATCCCTTCCATAGACTCCTCCCATCCAGATGACTGCAACAAAAGAGCTTACCGGAGGGAGAGAAGAAGAATGGGATGTTAGGATACCAGGTGTTAGCTCTGATACCAATTGTTAGGATCGCTCAACAACGCTCACAATCAATCAAGATGAACCCAACAAATTGGAGAGAGAAAATACAAGGAAAGGAAAGAACGCTCACACTCGATGATGAACACAAAGAATCAAAGAGAGAAAATACAAGGAAAGGAAAGAAAAAATATTGGCTAAAAGTTTTATATTAATAACTTTACAGAGAGATAGAATACATAGCCATGTCTAATGGATATATATATGGTTTCAATTATAAGTATAGGTTTAAGGGATATAATCTAAGAAATATATTTTTATCCCATCTTTACCTTTACCAAATATGACCAAATATGACCGTATACTATCTTCCATTCCAAATATTCATATTCTAAATATTCTTTACTTAAATTATGTAATTTTATTTAGTTTTGGCACTTAAAACTCATATATTTATTGTAGTAAATTATTAAATATGCTTTGTGAAAATAAATAAATAAATATAGTTTTTTTTTTTAAATATGTAGACATATTTTATATAACTGTTTTAATTTTTATTATTAATTTATATATTTCCCCTCAAAAAATAAATTGTATAGAGAAAATATAAAAATTTATTTAGAGCTAACAACAATTAATAAAAAAAACATTCAATACCGGTTTAGTCAGGTTTTGTTTAAATGTCGAATGTTTGGAAGAGAATATCTATATTTTGTATTGAAAATGTTATAAGTTAATAAAATATTACTGTCCAACTATGGTTAAAATAATTTTTAGTAAATGAGTAATTTATTTATTTAATAATTTTTTTTTGTCCAAATAAATTAAATATATATTAAAAATTAAAGGGTTATTAAATGAAGTTTTGATTTTAAGTTTTTTAGGTTTTAAAACTAAAATAAAAAACTGATTTTTACTTTTAGAAATTAGCTAAAAGTTTAAATATTTCCTAATAAATAAAATTATTGTAAATCAATGGTAAAAAAAAAATATAGCATTTATAAAAACTAATTTGTTATCAAAATTGGATAACAAAACAAAACAAGAAATATTGTTTAAATTCCAGAATTCAAGAAAAAGCAGTTTTTAATTGTCACAGGGCAGCCATTGGAAAGCGTGCTCTTGCTCTTTGCTCTTTGCTCTTTGCTCGGCCACTTTTTCTTGGTTATTCTGCTTTGCAGTACAACGTTCATACGATTCTTTTTCAGCCCTTCACTCCCCCATCAGTAAGTTTTCGATATCCTTTCTCTCCTCTTCCATTTCCATTTTCATTTCATGATTCTGGTTTAATTCTGAGGAAAAGTGAACAGAAAAGGAAGCAGATGATTACTGTTTACCTTTTTGGCCGAGTTTTTGTGTTTGGATGAGTAAAAGATCATTTGGATTTCACGAATTGTGGATTACACTGTCTTTCGCTCTTGGTTTTCTCTGATTTGAGTTTCTTCGCTGTTAGTTGTGGTTGTTTGAGGTTGATTTACACCGATTGTTTGTAATTTCTTGCCTGAAGTATGGTAATCTTGTTATTTGTTTAGGAATGGCGTTTTCTCGGAGAGAAAATTGTTAAAATATGAATCTCTACCTCATTTTCTTTCGCTATCTATTACGATTACTTTTTTGTCCTTGAATCTGAGCTTGCTCAGTGGACTGTCGCTTCCCTTACAACCTCAGATTTCCGTTTCACCATGTATATTGATTTGTAGGCAGAGAAAATTTATGGGTTTTGGTTATGGTTCTTATGGAAGCACGTTGGTAAGATATAAATGGTTTTGTTTTTTTCAAACTCGTTAGCTTCCAAGCTCACCGTAGGCTCAGATTTCCGCTAGATTCTTCCATAGAGCAAAGAAGCTATTTATTGTACCTATAGAATTTGGGTTTGATACACTTCTTTTCAAGATAGCTATAATTGATCTCAGCTCATTAGGTGGAGTAACTTGTTCTTCCCTGACCTTTTGAATTAGAAGTTCATTGCCCAATTTTAATTCACATATACTATTTTGTTCACAGAAATGTCAGTTTTAGGACGGAGAGGAATTCATTACTTTCAGAAACTAAATGCAGCGAACATTCCCACTGCATTGATTGAGAAGGGTCAAAATCGTGTTATTGAAGCTTCTCTAACACTCATTCGCGAGAGAGCAAAGCTCAAGGTATACTGGTTTAACGAATAATTATTCTTGTTTCTCATGTTTTTATTGATCTGGTTCATTGTGATTTCGTTCTTACCAAACAAATTCTTGGTAACTTAATCAAACTGATTAGATAGTGTGACCCCAAGGATTGGATAATCTTAAGGCTTCGGTCGAGTATTTAATAATTTAAAAGTCTTGTTGTTTCTGAGAGTTGGTCTTAGGCGGGTGAAGCCTCATTAAGGATTAGTGAGGGTGGGTTGTGAGCATGATGCAGGTGAGGGTGGTTTAGTCATTCTTAAAATACGAGTATTTGATACTTGAGTTTTCCAGCAGCCAATTACAACGTTAAAGCTTTTCGACTTGTTTTCCTCCCAGGGTGAGCTCGTGCGTGCTTTGGGAGGTGCTGTAGCATCAGCGTCTCTTCTTGGAGTTCCTTTGGGACATAACTCATCATTTCTTCAAGGTCCAGCATTTGCACCTCCTCGGATCAGGGAGGCCATCTGGTGCGGGAGTACGAATCCAACTACTGAAGAAGGTATTCTCTTCCGTCATCTCTGGGAAGTTTAAGTTTAATTTAGCAATAAAACAACAATGGTAACTTAATCTTTTGTTGTTGCTTGCACTTGACATCTGTGTCTAACCCCCTTTCCTGATAGCTAATATTAGCTGAAATTATGCAATTTGTCTACAATTCACATGCCTAGTGAAAGACAATGCTTTGCTAATGCAGGGAAGGAACTTACTGACCCCAGAGTGCTGACTGATGTCGGTGATGTCCCTGTCCAAGAGATCAGGGACTGCGGCGTAGATGATGAAAGATTGATGAAAGTCGTGAGCGAGTCTGTCAAGCTGGTGATGGAAGAGGTGAGCAACTCTGGAGCATATTTTTATTCACTTATATTTTCTTTTGTTTAAAAGTTGTTTCACTTGTGGTGCCTCATTGATTAGCAATGTTTCCATTCCACTTCACGTGCAATGACTAAACCGTTCATCGTTCATTTGATAACCTGTCATTAGAGTTTTCGCCATTGAAATGTCACATTCATGCAGTTTTTTGGCTGTGGTTTGTGTCCTTTACATATTGGTTTAGTGGGTTAAATTTATAATCTTGCCCCTTCAGGATCCACTACGTCCACTGGTTTTAGGAGGCGACCACTCCATATCTTACCCTGTTATCAGAGCTGTCTCTGAGAAGCTCGGGGGTCAAGTTGATATTCTTCATCTCGATGCCCATCCCGATAATTATGATGCTTATGAGGGAAACTACTTCTCGCATGCTTCTTCTTTTGCACGAATTATGGAAGGTGGTTATGCTAGACGACTTTTGCAGGTAGGTTTCTTTCCTTTAGGTATCGGTTTTGATTGTAAGCGAAAACGCGGGGTTCGATTAGATGTTTATAGTTTTGTTTTCATCATTCAAATATTTCAAGTCCTTATTGGTTGAATCTATTGAACTTCGAGTCATGATTTTTCAGGTTGGTATAAGATCAATATCTCAAGAAGGAAGAGACCAGTGCAAAAGATTTGGAGTCGAGCTGTATGAAATGCGAACCTTTTCAAGAGATCGTGAATATTTAGAAAATTTGGTCTGTCTCTGTCTCTTCTGTTACGAGTTCATGTCATTCCTGCATATCTATTTCAAGGCATTGTCCTAACTTTTTGCGATGTCGAATCGTGCACAGAAACTGGGGGACGGTGTAAAGGGTGTTTACGTTTCAATAGACGTCGACTCTCTCGATCCAGCATTTGCTCCTGGAGTGTCCCATATTGAGCCAGGTGGTTTGTCTTTCCGTGATGTTCTGAACATCATCCACAATCTTAAAGGGGACATCGTGGGCGCAGACGTCGTCGAGTTCAACCCTCAGCGAGACACGGTCGACGGGATGACAGCCATGGTTGCTGCTAAATTGGTAAGAGAACTCACAGCCAAGATAGCAAAATGAAAGTTCAATCATTAGGATTCTAGCTACTATAAATACCTGTGTTTTGCTGAGGGAACTTTTTATCACCCATCATTCCAGTAATAAGTGAACTCCTGAGTGATGAACATTATAAGGTCTTATCTGTTTACTCCAGCCAACATGCTCACCCTTCCTAGACACGGTCGACTTTTCAAAAAAATACTTTTACCGCGAGTATCACGTTTAAAAAATATTCATGAACTTTAAAAAAATAACCCTAAGAAATATAGAGATAATCTATGAAGTATAGATATACGGTTTTCGTCTATATATCGATGATAAAAAAGAAAATTGAACTAAATAAAGACAATGAGTATTAAAACTACTTTTAAAATTTCATAAATATTTTTAAACCTGGTATTAATAATAAAAATATTTTTGAGTTTTTAAAAAAAATTTAAGGATATTAATAAAATTTAAAATACTCAAGCATTCAAAATTAAGTTATTTAAAACTTTATTTTTTTTAGCATATCTTAAAATAAAGGAAAATAAAAAGTTTACTAATATAGAGATTTAATTATAATTTATTGATGAAATTTAATTTATACCTCTAAATTTAAAACCTTAAATTAGTAAATGGTATAAAAAATTATAAAGGAAAATTTAAATTTAAATTGGTAGAATTATTAGTTTAAAATTTTAATTATATAATTTCTAAAATTTAGGGTATATATATATATTTTTTTGGCGTAAAATTAAATTATTATTATTATTATTATTATTTGCAAATAGCTAACAAAAACACTGGGAATTTGATTTTATTTAAAAAGGTAAAAACAATAAATCTTTCACCAAAAAAAAAAAAATAAATAAATAAAACGAAAAATCTGTAATAAAAAAAATTGGGTTTCGTAAGTAACAAAGAAAAGAGTTTCTCTCTCTTCGAATCCACGCCCCTGTCCGTTGCTCTCTCCCGCACCGGTCCCAACATCCATCGCCACGCCCCGTTGCCATCTCCCTTCGCTTGCAACCAGCATTCAGCTCTTTCTTCCTCAGATCTACACTCTCCATTTCCATCACTCTCAGGTTTTCTTCTCCTCTTCATCGTATATCAGTTTCAGAATGATTTATTCTGTTTTCAGACAGATTCACAACGCCGATTCTCGCTCCCTATCTTGTTCTCCTTCATTTCTGTTTCGATTTTCTTGTTGTCTTCTGTTATATGAGTCAAATTTATGCTCTTGGTTCTTTTCAATAATTGTTAAGGCCTCTATTTGGTTTCTTAGGTGTCAATTTGCTGGTTTACAATCCATTTTGTTACGATCTCTGCCCGGTGCCCTTCGTTGAATCTCGCGGGAGTCTTTCTGGAGGTTTTTCTTATGCATTTCCCTGTTGATTTTGATATGTATGGATTTTTTTTCTGTGATTATTCTGCTAAATTTTCGTTGTTTGGTAGGATTTTGTTTATTCCTGAATAATTTGCATTCAATTTGTGGTGGAGTGTGCTGAATTTGAGTTTTTTTTTTTTTTTTTTTTTTTTTTTTTTTTTTTTTTTTTTTTTTTTTTTTTTTTTTTTTTTTTTTTTTTTTTTTT